GAGATGAGAGTTCCACGCGCGGAGTCACGCTGCCACCTGGCGGAGACACGGGGCACCTGCAGCCCCTCCACGTGGGTGAATTGTACACTCCACATCCTGAAGGTTTTCGGAGAGGCCCGTACGTTTGTCAATCCACTGCTGGACGAGGTCTTCCACGTGCGGTCGTGGCGATAACTTGGCCTTTGTTACCACCGCGTTGGTCGGTGCGTTTGTTGGGGGGTAGAGCTCGCGACTGATTTGACGTTGCTGTGGACGGGGAACGAACTCGTGCGCTCAAGCGCTGCGCAACTGCTCCCCCACCTGGCGAAACACGGGACCTCAACGTGGTTTCGGCGCACGTGAGACGATTGAATCTCCGTTGGGGTTCACGCCTGAGTGGAATCCCGAACGTCGAACCGCGGCACCACCCCAACTCGCTCATTCTCTCTGCCGGCAAATAACCCGAACATTGGGATCTCGAGAATCTGGTTAAATCGCATTAATCGATTACTGTATCCAGTGTAAGCCCGTTCCTTTATGATATAAAAAATATATATAATCCTTATATATATAAAAAATACAATCTATCTCAACAAGGATGTGGGTTGTTTAAAGCACACACAGAAATAACGTGTACTAATACGTTCTATAGATGTCACATTTGAATTAATTATAACCTGGCTTTTAAATCAAGGACGCATTTCAATCTGGCGGTCCCCGTAGAAGTGGGCCGAGGGCTACATGGTGCTGAAGACTGAGCCCCACACAATTATTTTTTTTTACAAATATTGGTGCAATTGTTAACACCGGTACCAAAGGCTGCGACGCCGACCATCCTCATCCACGCAGACAGATCCAGAGCAGAATGCACGACGGACAATGTATCGTATCGTTGCTCACTCTGCCCTCGCCACGTCGAACATTTGATTAAAGTTCATGATTGTGTGTCGTCGACCGAATGAGTTCTTTGTACGCGCCCCATCCTCTCCGCTCTTCAGACAAGGTCACTCTACGGGGCTCTTGCACTGGTGAATCGTAGCGTGGATTGACCAATGACTACGACCACTACGGTACTACGATTGGCGAGATGCGTGAAGGTGGCAAGATGTTCGCTACTTCGCCTGGTGTTCAGTTCCATTTATTTTGGTATAGCCCTGTGAGCCATTCGGCTCTTGAATCGGGTGCAACCGCAACAAACAAAAACACGAACAAGAAAAACATCTTAAAGTGACTATGTGTGTGACTGTGCAAACAGAAAATTTAGAAAAAAACCCAGCAAAATATTCCTAAAAAAAGCACCGTACACCAACGCTGTGTGCAAAAATCCCAGTGGGATGCAAGTCAAACAACAACAACGACCACAAGACAACTTTAGATTAAGGCCATCAGTCCAACCCCGTACTACAACAAACATGGCCAAACCTGCCTGGTGTGCAGGAGGTCGTGGGTTTCATCCCAACCCTGACGCCTGCTGCATGTTTGGAGTTTGCGTGTCTCTCTGCCCGTGGTCGTGTGGATTTTTCTCTTCGGGTCCTCTGGGTTTTCCTTCCACATTTAGAATCAACATGAAGCGTTTAAGAATATTTGGCTGCTAGACATTTTTCACACGATGATAAGCCACTTCGTTGAGCTATCATTTGTGATGGCCAGGTCGCTTCTGATAAATGAGCTATGTAGCTCAGTGGGCCTTGCCTGGTAAAAACAAATTCGTTTAAAATATGTATCCAACACACCGATGTCCCGTGCTGAAATGCAATTAATTTTATAACGCGAGAGCTTTAAAGCGTCTAAAGGTGAGACGTTATCTTCCGCCGATGGGTTCAAACCTTAGCATGCTTCGTCTATCTCCTTTGTAGCCCAGGTGTTGTCAGGCAGAACAGCAGCAAGTTGGGTTGGGTGAGGACGAGTCGCTCGAAAGGACGATGACCGATGCACAGGAATAATGAAGGAGCGATTCAGTCGTTTCGTTCGTGCATTGCAGGGTCGTTCGAGTCGGCGACGGCCCGAGGATGCATTCATGCAGCAGTGGATTGATCATGGCAGACGACGACGATGATGATGGCAATGTTGAGATACAATGTACCCAAAGAACGCCGTGCAGAGGGCGGACGGCCCCGAGATTGATATTACCGGCAGATGCTGCCTGCTCGGTAATTAAAACGTGGGATTCGTCACCACCGACGCTTATTTATTGTTGCCATGACAATGGGGAAAATTGAAGACTGTGCGCAAATTAAAATGCGCGGAGGTAGCGGCATCTGTCACGATTCGGCGGAGATAAATCTAATCCATGAGATAACAATGTTTTTGGTGTACAAGTCACAAAACTTATCTCCCCCCCCACCTCCACCTGACTCCAGTCACCACTCGCTGGTGCATCATCATCATTGCTGTCTTGTCTCGATTGGATGGCACGATTATCCAAGACGATTGTCCTACGGTGTACCCCAGTATCGCCACATCGCAGCAAACCGAGTCAACAAAGGGGCATTCAATGCCTGTTCATTTGATCCGATCGCACCAAAATATGAATCTAGATGTACGGAAAAATAAATCGAGTGTGGCACCGAGATTAAATTGTGAATATGGAGGCAAAAAAGCCTCTTCGAATGTGACAATTCGTTAAATTATGGATCCTGAGAATAAAAAAAACTTCCAATCTGCCTCCTTGGTAAGATAAGTGTCAATAGCTCTCTATCCACAGCAGAATTCCCTGTCATGAGTGTTCTTTAGAAATGAAACCTAAATGTTTCAAAGCTCAAGAGTATTAAACATGAATGAACAACATTTTGTATGATTGTTGTGAGTGTCATCAATCGGGAATCAGGGTTGATATGACTAACCTGCTACACTTGACAATCCGGTTTAATAATCTAGTTTGTTTAATTCGACATTAGAACCCATGACCATAGGAGTGCTGCAACTCGTCATGGTGACATTTTAATTCCTTCACCGTGAAGGTGGTGCTACTGTACACGGTAAACTCTCCACTCACATCGACACCAACCCGGAGTTGGCCAGAATGGATTGCAGTCGACTCAAGTGAGATTTAACACAAACTATAATCAGTGTGGCCCAAAATACTTAAAACTATACATTCTGGCCACGCGGCGTGGCGTTAACTACGTCTCCTGCTATACAGGAGGTTGTGGGTTCGATCCCGACCCCATGTATGTTTTGAGATTGCGTGTTCTCGCCGTGGTCGCGTGGATTTTTCTCCGGGTCCTCCGGTTGTTCCCTCCACATTTATAATCGACATCACGCGTTCAGAATATTTGGCTGCTATAAATTAATTCCACGTGACGATGGGCCACTTCGTTGAGCGATCATTTGTGGCCAGGTCGCTTCTGAAAAATATCTGTACGGCTCAGTGGGCCTTACCTGGTAAAATAAAAACAGTTGAAAATGTGCATCCAATGTTCCGTGCTGAAAGATTCGGTTTTTTTTTAAGTGTCATCAACATATGTTATTTACCAAATGAATACACCACAGTTTCAACGCAGATCAGACACGAAGCAAAGACCGGAACGCGTGCGTGCACAGATGCGAGTGATGTTGTACATTCAGGTTAAAACAGCAAACACTCGGGAAACATAACTGCAACATGAAGCCCTTTTAAAAAAAGATGTTTGTTAAAAATTTTTTATCGAAATTTAGTTTGACAAAGTCGTTTACGATACATTGTTATATTTGTGTTGCTTTCCATCACGGCACTGCCTGCAGGACATGGCGAGACATCTCACCAATCGGTATCCCCATCTATTCCATTACTTGTTCCGTGCCACTCAAGTAACCTATTCAAATATAATCTAAATGCAACATGTCGAGAACTTGTGTGTACGGAACGCAGCGGGCACTGTTTGACAGCTAAGAGGCAGGCCATGGTCATAGACAGAGACGTAAAAGGAGAGAGGGTTGGTGTAGCCCAGACATGGGCAAAGTACGGCCCCTTGGGCTTTTCAATCCGGCCCGCCGAACTTGTCCAAATAATATTATTAAATTAAATTTTACCTTTCTCCTGTAATGCCCCCATTTCCCCATTAGATGGCGCACTTTGACCGGGAGTTACGACATGTTTTTGTATTGTTCACGTTCGTGCAATTTGTTAAATTGCCTTGCAAATAAATGCTTTGCTACCTGTCAAAGGCCAAATCCTTTCACGTAATGATTTTTACATGTCATTCATATTAGTTCACACAAACACTCCATCCATCTGTTCTTAGCCCGGCCCCTCTGTGAAATTTTAGAACCCATTGTGGCCCGCAAGTCAAAAAATTTGCCCACCCCTGGTTGAGCCTGAACTTGAAACATGGGGCAAGGGAAATCGACAGCAAAGACTGCTGGGGGAAGTCCCCATAGTGGGGGCTGCCGTGCGCTACCGCGTCACAGTGTCAACGGCAGCCGGTATATCTCCATCAGGAGACATGAATGCGCGCGGTAATGTTATGATTGGGGGCGGGGGTAAGTGGGTGGGGGGTGGAGGGGGAGATACGTTCAGGAAAATCCAAACAACAGGAAGCGAGTGGTTTTGAGAGGAAGGGAAGAACGCATGCCCTCGGCACATGCTGGTGTCACGAGATCTCCCCCGCCGCTCACCCATGCCGCACCCCGGCTATTAAAAAAAAAATGGAAACTGGAGGCAGTAGCTATGAGAAACAGCCATGAAACCAGGCCCTGTCGTCGCCAGTGCTTGCACACACGTTACCTCACTACCTGGTACCCGTAACCTAATATGCAATGCGCACGAACACTGCGTCTTTTCGTCGGTCTAGCTCCCACAAACGCTGGTTGCAAGTAAATTGTGCAATGAAAGGGTGTGTGTGTGTGTGGGGGGGGGGCATAAGGACCCCACAAAAGCCCGTGGGTCAATGGAGCCGCAGTTAACCTCATGTTCGGTTCCAATTCTGAAAAGCGCCAACAAGGTAATTGGAGAATGTAAGCGTTGACAAGCGCACACACACGTCATCTTTATATTCTTGGTTCTTTCGGTAAAGTCACGTAGAAGGGAAACAATAAAATAATAAAAATATAAAACTTATCTTTCTTTAATTAAAAATGAAAAAGTGACATGTGAGCATCCGATGACACCAATGACAATTTGCTCATTTGAAGTTTCAGTCACAAATACGAATGTTTTTTTTTTACCAAACACAATGCTCGCATCACTGACAGACAACTGAACTCAGTAATATTACACAGTTAAAAAGGCCAGATCTAGGATCAATTACTATCGTAATTGTGTCATTCCATTATGAATTAATTTCACATAATTGTAATGCTGCTATAAGTGTAATTAGAATGGACTCAAGAGTCTGGCGAATAACGGGCTTAATTTCGTGTTGTGATTGGGATTACAGATTTCTTCTGTCCATATTTACAAACACAGCTTGTGTTTCACAGCACAAGGCACCCCTGCTTTCATACTGTTGATACTCATCACCAACACCGCGACTGGTTTAACATTTAACGAAGTGTGTGTATTTTGACAGCGCCATCTCGTCAGTAGGCGCCACGGTGTTAACATCCTCGCCTGGTATGCAGGAGGTCGTGTGTTCGATTCCGACTCGGACGCCTGAATATTTGGAGCTTGCATGTTCTCCCCGCGGTCGCGTGGATTTTCCTCCGGGTCCTCCAGTTTTCCCCGCCACTTATACATTTCCACAGGATAGGCCACTTCGTCGAGTTATCATATGTGGCCAGGTCGCTTCGGGAAAAAAGAGCTACGTAGATTAGTGGGCCTTACCTGGTCAAATAAAAAAAGTTTAGTTTAAGTACGGTCAAATTATCCCTGTGACCCGCGAGGCGTTGGGGAGGTCATCACCCAACAGCGGATTAACAAAGGACCATGCGCGTACATTGCGAGTTACGTGTTCGTACGAGCCAGCGGCGTGGAGGGGGACACGCACCCCGAACATGCCGTTGGACAGCAGTTACGCAACAACAAAAAGAGAAGCGAAGCGAAATTCAAGATGACTCGCACTGTTCTTCATTAAACACACAAACACGCGCACGCTACACTAAAACAATATAACATTATTAAACACGGCAATAATTTGATCTAAAGTAATGAAAACGCGAGACGCTATTTGCATTTCCGGCTTGCAAACCCCAGCCAATAATAAAAACCAACCCTGACATTGAGGCCAGCAGGCTAAGCACCTGCAAAGATATTGCTGGTAAAGGAACATCACTTTTAAGGCATTCATAACCTGTGGGAAGTTTCATTCTAAAAATACACATTTATGTAGAAGTGTAATAATTCATCACTTCCCCCCGGAAGAATTCTGGGGTTACAATTGAGTCTTTTCTGTCTATTTTACATCGTCAACTTTGTATGTTCTGCCGTCTTAATTCCATTCACCTTGAAGTCACATTTGCATACAATTTATTAAAGTTTGCACGAACTATTTTTTTACACGCACCATTCAACGCGTGCATTGTGAGAGCGTGAAATTCCATGATAAATTGATTCATCGTCACGGGCCTATGTTCGGCATTGTAAATGAAACTGAGAAACGAGTTTCCTCTGAAAATTTTTCACACAAATTAAACCGAGCAGGCACAAGGAGTATTTAAACATGCCAGACCCAGGGCATGTGCTTTGCAACATAGACAATAACATACCTCATTCGGTGTGCAAAACCCATTTTTGGGGCAAGTTCCACGCGGGCAGCTTCATGCACACGGGAGCACTCTGGCGAGGTCATAAACCGCACAAGGCTCTCGCCATAACATTTTGAGACTCGCAAGGTCAGGCCCGACCGAGGCAGGTTCAGACGCCATGTACCAACGTCACGTGAAGGATCCAGTTAGCTCGAAGCCGGACAGCCAGAGTTGTAGTGCAATACACAATTTTTACATCACCCCATCACAAACGCAAATAAAGGAAATGTCACACACACACACACGTGGAGTTGTCAAAACTGGTTGGATGAGGCATTTTAGACGTCTGGCAATAACCATCAGTTTTTTTGTCAGATCAGATAAATGTGTCGTTATACCTGCCACCACCCGACACAGCCAATTGGTAAGGTTTGTCATGTAAACAAACAATAACAATGCAGCGACATGGAGGCATTAAAATACCAAACACAATGAATACCTTCAGCTCATTCTCCAGTTTCTCTGCCATGTGTGTGTATGCACTTTCATTGAATACCTCAAGACAATGTAAACATAAATGTAGTGTCCATTCAATTGTACATGTACCTCCACGACTTTCCCCAACACACCTTATAGACTCTAGACGTGTCCGCACTTCGAATGAGATTATATACGGTACACCGCACGCGCCTTTGAAAATGTAATTCAGCAAGTGTGATACCTCCATTTATAATGGCAATGGCCAGCACAGTGACGTGTGACCAAACAACCCTTATGATCAACATGGCGTGGGAAGACCTCCCTCTTCAGCAGCGGATTGACAATGAGTTTCGGGCCTTTATTTACATTGCCTACCCTGGGTAGAAAAAAAAAACTAGCAGTGCCTCTATGTATTTGTGTGATACAGGGGTACTGCATTCACCACTTGCAACTGTATTCTAGACAGCACTGAATTACAGCTCCCCCAGCTCGTACCTGAGAGGAAGCATGTTCGACTCCCTTGTGTGGTCTCTCCCATAAGACTCGTGATCGAATCCGTACCTACCCGCAAAATCGGGCGATACCTCCTTTGTTACGTTCAAGCAGAACCTGAATTCATTGTCCTCAACTCCGAACTCCAAATGTTCATCTACATCAGTTTTCCTAAACTCCCGTCCTCGTGACCCATTACGGTATGCCTCTCCGTATTTGCCAATCTTACGTTCGTTTCACATGCAAGTTAGTTACACGCTGCACGTGCCTAACGATTGCCAGGCACATCTCTCGCATAACGTACAGAGCACCGATTCAAATCAAGGATGTGTCACGTGATATTCAAATGCTTAGCAATCATCAGGCAAGTGCAGTGCATTATCATCGCTTCAAACACAATTTGTCATTACATAACCATTAAAAGGCATGCGGTGGTCTTGTCATGGGGACTGAGAGATTGGAAAACGATAAAACATATTGAAGAAGATAAAAATGGGTGAATCCAAAGTGCTGTTACGACGAAGGTTGTGAAAATGAAGACCCTGTGAAGTTAACATTCACAAAGGTAGGTTCGCAGCACACTGGTGTCATAGCCAAAATCACAAACTCGCCACTCGCTTGTAACTTGCCACGCTTAGTTCACATCGGTCGATTCTCAGGAGTTTCCTTGAATTAACTGTAATAAGGTCACTATGGTGTGACCGAGCAAATGGAAAATCCAGTCACGCTTATTTATCTGCCACTCTCGCTGTGGAATCAACATCAGCTGTGTTCCTGCAAATAATTGTGCAAGTAGTAAATATTGAAATGTGTCCCAAGCATGTAATTCATTTTGGAAACACATTAAAATGATTGCAGAATATTGTTTAACGATAAATATGCCAAACGTAGCACTAGTTTTGTGTAAGAAATCTTTTTTTTTATATATATTGTGCAAAACATTTGAGAAAACTGGTGGAAAGGATAATATGCTTGGCAGGTGAAATATAAATACAATGTTGGAAACACAGCTGACGACGGCGAGACTGGACTAGTCTCTTTGGTGATCTCCAATGTAACACATTATTCGGGGACATACATTTTAAGGCTTCGTTAGTGGGAATAAAAGCATTAAAAGTCAAGGTGACGGGGATTGCTCCCGGTGAGTTATTGAACAAATTATTTGGCGATGCTGCTAATGCGTTGGCAGAGGCACTCAAGCACAAATAAAAACAACAAAACAAATATTCGTCAATAACACTGTGGACTTATAAAGGAAAAATATACGTGACATTTCTGGAAATGCTCCTTCTTGTGCTATAAAGAAGAGCTATTGCTCAAAACGCCGCCCATTATAGATATATTTTTTTCCTTTTAAGGCCACAATGTTATTGACTAATGTGTTGAGTTTTGTTTTACCATATGCATTCACCATTATAATATAAATGCATCGTCCCGTACATCTATATTAAATTATTAATTAATCCTGTTGCATGGAAATGATACATGATTCTTACTGGGTGCTCATTAGGGCTCTCTTGTAGATAGCAAGTAGAACAACAAGTGAGCCTTCGGGGCAATCTCGTTCCCACCAAAATGTTAGATCAATTGTGCTGTCGTCATCACATCGTGAGAACCAAGTAAACGTGTTCTCGTCTCTCGTCAAACAGTGCAATTATTCGTGTCTGACATCGGGGCCCATGGAAGAGGACGTCACAGAGCTATCTCAGCCAAAAACAGCACTGGCACCGCGAAACCAAAGGGACTGCACTGCGACGTTACAGTTAAACTCCCTGTGCTTGAGGGGGGGGGGGGGGGCGGAGGGTTCGCACCCACGCCCGGATAAAGCGCCCGGATAAAGTGCCATCGTTTATTTGGGCACAAACTTAATACCCGCGTACTAGAAAGGCTCTGGGATTTCAACAGCGCAGGGACACAGGCGCACATTCTATTCTTAACTTGTATCCAAGGAAGTCCCTGGCCAAATTCGGATACCATTACAGTGACATAAAAACAAATGACCACAGCTCACCCGACAGTTACCACGTTTTAACAAACAAAAATAAGAATAAAAAGAGACGGCGGGCAATCTTCACGCGGTCGTTCACAGTCCCACAGATTTGCTGACCTGAAAGATGGAGGGACGTAGGCTATCGGTGCCGAGCAGTGCGCTGCGCGACTTCCCACTGCGGCGAGCTCCTTGAGAGTTTAGCGCGCGCGCAATCAACGCTCACGATTCGAGGCTTTCGCGATCACTGGGTCGGCGGCGGCGGCGGGCCGACCCGAGCGTCGCTGGCGAGGCTGTGCTTCCACTGCTCCCTGAGCTGGCACACGGCGGCGCCGTACTGCTGGTGTAGCCGCAGGAAATTTGGCTGGGCCTCGGGGCCCGACGAATCGGCGGCTTCGTCGCCGCCCGCAGCGGAGCTGATGGGCAGCAAACCGTTCCTGAGGTTGTGGCACGAGGCAGACGGGAGCAGGCTCGGCGAGGGGGGCAGCTGCAGGGGACGCGATGAAGTGTCGTCGTTGCCGGGGGCCTTCACCGTATGCGACCGGCGGGGCGTGTGCTTAGCGGGGGGCGGCGGCGCCTCCGTGGAGGCCCGAGGTCGGGCGTTGGCGGCGTCAGTGTCCCATGGCACGCTGCTGTACCTGCCCTTCAGTGGCCCTGGTGGGGTTGAACAAGGAAGAAAAATCACGCCGATGTGTGGATTCTGCAGCCACATTCCAGCATGCGTTTGTTCTCGGACAGATTTACTTCGTGACAGTCATGTCACGTTTGAAGGTGCACAACGAGGTGACAAGATGTAACCTGGTCCCCATCTAAAATTATTATTTGTTTACCCAAACGGTATTTACCTGTGGCAAAATACACTTGGCATGCGAAATGACATAGTAAGACTATGGTGCATGTAACAACGTGCGCACATGGTCTGTGATGTCATCAATTTATAATCCATCATCTTTACAAGAGTTATCATGACCCCCTCCCCCCAACGCGTCCCCCCCGCCATGCTACAGGCAGATGGATAGGAGCTAATGCATTAATATTTTCAATGCATTAATGCCTTCGCTGGAAACCATTAAAACACAAACAAAACGTATGCCGTCACCATGTGACTCAAGAGGACGTTTTTTTTTATTGCCGGCGAGATGCACTGTGCTAGGAAATTTGCCCCCAAGTTGTGACAAAATACAGAACGAAAGTGGCCCTGCCAATAATCAGAAAGACCTTGCTGAAGCCAGACAGTGCAAAATTAAACCGTGCCAAACAAAATTTAAGTGGCAGTGATTTTCTGAAGGCCAACTTTGGTCTGCAGTGCTATACGATAGTTTCAAGGGTAACATGATAAACACTCAAGCTCAAATACTAAAATAAAATAATCATGTTTAGGATGCCAAAACTAACGGCCCTGTGACGCAAATGAAAAGCAATCGGACCACAAGGGGCTTTCGCAACGCTGACAATCTGCCAAATTTTTAAATTAGCCCCTAGTATTAGTTTGGACACAAAACTGAAGTGTTTCCTCAACATCCCTGGAAACGTTGAAAAATGGCATTTTGGAATTTACATTAGTTGCCTCTTTTTGTTTCTCTGCCACAATTGTTCTCGTGACATCGTGCAACGAGGCGAATACATTACAATTTGGACCTCTTGCGGTGAACCACGACCACGTGTCGCAGAACAGCTCCAGAAAGATGACGTCAGAGAACTACTTTCAAAGTAATTTCATTGGGCCACTTATCCACGCTAATAGCACACATTTTTATGCACTGCAAAGACTGTTGCTCAATATGAAACCTGTAATTATCCAGAGTTATGGAATCGAGTTCCATCTGGTCAAAAAAAAATGTTGACGAGATGTTCTTTTGTGCAGTCATTGGTGACTGGGCTGAGAATTCAATTTTATAACAGGTGCTTGCCTGGTTTCGAACCCACAATTTCAGTGGTGCTGGCCCCGGTGCTCAACCAAAACCATCACCTACCACCCTTAGCCAGAATCCTGGGTAGAGGATCCTAGGAGATGCAGGTTGCAGGGTAGAGCACATAGTGCATGTCTTAAAGCTCTCTCTGCGCACCCTTTAAACCCACAGCTCTCGTGCCCCGAAAGGAATCACCGTCACGAATAATAAGAATCCTGTGGGCACTGACGGTGGCAGCGGTGGGACTAAACCGACGATCTTGACACAACAACAGAAACCCGTTGCCGCCGCCGCTTCCGCCACTCACCGTTGACCTTCCTGGTTCTCTCCAGCTTCACCGCCGGCCCCTGATCCTCGAGCAACGTGGGGTCGGCCCCCTCAAGCCCCACGAGCAGCAGGTACTGCTGCTCCAGCTCGGACGCCAGCGTGCGCATGTAGCCGTGGTTGGCGGTGGTGAGCGCGCGCACCCACGCCTTCAGCTCGTCCTGGTCGCCCGCCGCCAGCGTGTAGGTGCGCGAGCCGGCGCCCTCGAAGCGCAGCGCGAAGGCGAAGTCCGTGGAGGCGGCATCGCACAGCTCGACCATGCAGCCCTCGAGCACCACGACGCCCAGCGGCTCGCGGTCGCCTTGCGCCTCGAAGTAGAAGAGCAGGTTGCCCTTGAGCACGAACCAGCGGCGCTGGTAGGACGTGTGGACCTCGCCCTTCTTGCGCAGGTAGCCCTGACGGTCGACGGGCGAGTCGCAGTTGGCGTAGTACGTCAGGCACCGCTTGTTGAGCTTCATCTCCCCGGGCGGCGGTTCGGAAATCTGCGGCAGTAACAGGGCGGCGGTCACGTTCCCGCTTTGTTTGTCACAACGGTTCCATCGGTTTGTTTGTCCTGGTTCTTTGGACCAATGTTTTTTCCACTCGGTCATGTACAAGACTGCCGATAACAGGACCTGTGAGCTGTGAGTTTGTGTTTTTGAGTCAAATTGTAGAAACATTTTTTCCCTTTTGCTGTGCCTGGGTCGTTGACATTCATTGCAAACCCACACAGTGGCTGCTGGGGTATGGTTTAATTCCTCATTGACATTCCAATTTCGAGAAGAGAAAAAATATTTACAAAAATATTTACGTTTAAGTGAATGCGTGTGTTGGAGGCTCAGAATGATTTCTCACGGAGTTAAGGATTCAATTCAACGCAGCCATGCGGTCGTTATTGAAAGCAATTTTATAATAAAAAAAACACTAAAATAGCACCTTTAGAAAAAGTTGTCCCACTGCACTTTACAGGAATACAAATATGGGGCCATCCATTTAGTACGTACGCATGGAGGGGGGTTAACCCAAATGCGTACGCTTGCGTATGGGGGGGTCTACTGACAATGTAATTGCTTAAACACGTTAATATTATTAATCCTTGATCGTTTCTGCGTGGATTAAATATCGGCCGTTCTATAGGTTTTGGGGGGGGGGGGGATGCGTCAAGTGTACGTACGCAGGTGGGGGGGGGGGTGTACAAAGTACGCACGCGTACGGGGGGGTCAAGTTTTGACAGATTTTTGCGTACGTACTAAATGGATGGCCCCTATATAAAAAAAAAACTGTCAGGCTACAACTGCTATTTTAATAAATCAAATCTTTTTTTAAAAGAGGAAATATGCACATTAAAACAAAAAATTAACAAGCATGTACCAATTGAGAAATTGTAAAGATTAATAATTTTTTTTGTTGTCTCAAGTGGTGATTTCAAAATCAATTATGGACTCCCAAGTCCCTGACTGTTGGCGAGCGAGTTACACCGTGTAGGTCCATAAAGAGAGACATTTAAGTGAAGAGGCGTCAACATGTTTGTTGAAAGGCAGCCTGTGGGATATAAGCCTTGGAGTGCCAGGGGAACAAAAAGTGGAATTTAATTTGCATTAAAAGGTATTATCATCACTAAAGTTACCATATTCAGGTTTTACCGCGTGAAAATTACAAATTATTGACAGGAACACGGATAACTTTAAAGTGAAAATGTAAACCATAAAATGGATTCTATATTACGTAAGCCAGCTAAGTAAGTGTCCAGCGAACAGCAGAAGTGTTTGAGAACGGGAATAATACGATGGCCGGGTTTAACTTATCCTGCCAGAACAATCTTCCTCCCAACAAGCACAGATCCACATTGTCTGTTTTTTGCATTCCTGAGGAGTGGCTTTAAGAACCCATGAGGAGAAAACAAGTGTTCATTGTCAGAAGTGGTGTTTCATGTAGTTCCACTGAGCATTATTTAACAAATGTTAAAACGTGTCCTTCAGAGCATGATTTTCAGGATGGGTTGGAACGCAACGACGTTCCCTACCAAGTGTAGTGTCCTGACTTGCAAAGCAATTAGGAGTGTTGTTATTATGTAAGCGGTTGTAGCGACGACTTGAGGCACGCACGGCTTTATTTTTAAGCCTCACATTTGAGTACTAATCAGTAGATTGAAGAAGTGCTTCTACGTCTAGGTTGACCTCATTTTAAGTAATTACTGTGCGACCTGTCTTTCAGAATGTAACTATCTTGTGAAGAGCCATAAAGAAAGCTGTCTCTGGTGTAGGCCAATCAGTTTCAAAGGCAATGGATGAATGTGTAATGACAATACAGCCTGCATGTGGTGTGAAGAGACTATTGGCCACGGGAGGTAATGACAGGGGAGTCAGCCTTCAGTACGAATGCACTAGTGGCCACGGGAGGTAATGACAGGGGTATCAGTTGTGAGTGCGAAGGGACTGGTGGCTACGGGCATATTCGAGAACGGAGCTTAGTCAGGCGACGAAGAGGACGGTGGAGTCTGCCGATGGAGCGAGCGTCCAGAGTCAGCGAGAATGATCGATAAGGGGGGCGTGGCCTCGAGTTGGTATATAAGGGGAAGATGCGCGGGAGACTCTGGGCTGCTGTACTGGGATCTCCACCTGATGTCGAGTGAACGTGTCTTCAATGAAGTGCCATCTCAAGAGAAGTGTGTCAAGTCGTCATTACACATGTATTTGCATGTTTTGCCACAAGTATGTGTGGTTAATGCAAACTTGGATGCCTTGCAATATATAGGTGTCTATTTCGAAATTTGAACACCTTAACACCTGTGTTGTTGCCAGCAAGGATAAAGCCTATTCTTCTGCACTGGGATGTTTGGTCAATTCCATTCATGAGAATTTGGCTTAATGTGGAACTCCCGGAGAAAACCCACCACTCTGCATACGAGGAGGTGACATTCACTCGGCATCTCCTGGCCTACACCTAGCAGCGCCATGCCTACAATACCTGGCAAGCCCTGTTGTTCACCCAACCAAATACTAACTAGACTCACCTCTGCACAGCTTCCGAGATTCGCCACGATTGTGTGCATTCTGAGCATTTGCCTTACTGACCCTTATAATGTAAGCCATGGCTTAAAATACCATAGTTACCTCCTTTATCATTATTTGTATTAAACTTGTTTACCCAAGGAAGTCTCGCTGAATATCAAGGCTCTCTTTCAGGAGAGTCCTGCCAAGTTCTCACACTCATCTGAATGTTTATTTATTCTGGAGGAATCCGATGGGCTATAAAGCTCTTTTTAACAGATATCCAGGAGGAGCGGTTAAGAACGTTACAATACAAAAACGTGAGAAAGTACAAGGTAAACATATAACCCAAACACACAAATAAAACGAAACCATCCCCATCTTTCCAGGCAAACCCCACTGGGGTATTCACTTATTTCTCAGAAGCGACCTGGCCACAAGTGATAGCTCAACAAAGCGGCCCATCGTTTGGACATTTATAGCGGGAAAAATATAGCCATGCAAAATGTAGTCATGGAAAATGTTGCAATGTGTAATCCCAACTGGAGTAGTTTGCAGGTATTTGCTGATCATTCTGATATTTGGCCAATACCAGTAACATTGCGTTCTTCTTTGCTATAAAAACATAGAACACCCAGAGGAAACCCACGCAGAAGATGGGAGAACGGCGCTAGCTCAGGACAGGAACGTACCAGAGTCAGGAATCAAAAGCAGGCCTTTCTCGTTTCTGAAAATCAATATTTAGTGGTAAACCTTCAAATACAAAATGTGACATTTTTGTTGTTGTTGTATCTTTGGCGCTCCGTTGTTCTTCATTCCCCGTTTTGATGACCACGCTCAGTTCACTCGTAGCACGCTGCTCTTGAGCTCTACCCAAAACATTCCCCTTGCAAAATAACATACAGTCACTTCAATGGGGGCTCTAATCCGATTTTTTTAAAAATGTCTTTGCAATTCATTGATACAGCACTGTATATTATTACAGTATATCAACAGCATAATTAATTTTGCAGAAACTCCGAATATGATAATTTAAAAAAATACCAGATGGCAAGTGTAACGAATGTGGTTAGAGGCAAGCACCCCCCAGGAACTGAGAGGCAAGTTAAAAAAGAGATGGTTTGAAATGATAAACCACGATATGAAGGAATGTGGGGTGGACATGCAAGGCTCAGGCAAGGAATGAAGACTAAGCAAGCAGACACTCCGATTGAGTGGAGAGAGGAAACAATATTGAGAAAAGGTGAAGTTGAATTGCCTGTTTGTTTTTATATATTTGCTACGCGTTATATATATGTTTATATATGCCGCGACGTGCAACACTATTACAATTAACGCGCCACTTATGAGCACCACTCGGCACAGCTAAATAAAAAAAAATAACAAACAATTCCATTGTGAATATCTAGAGTATGGTAAACATATAAAAGATAATAATACGACGTGTTCACCCGTCGTTCACCCGGATCGCGCGTGCAAATGAGTGCCAACAAATAATTTCAGGAAATGGGCACCGATAAACAAAAAAAGGGCCGACCTATTTTAGACAAGGTGAAACAAAAGCAGCACCCATTCTACATTAAAGCAACTGCTCATTCCACACTTTTCCGATAGAAATAAAATGTCCGAGTAGGAGCGCTTGCACACGAGTGAACACGTGTGGGGGGTGGTGGTGGGAGGAGTTGTTGCGAGTGAACACGTGTGGAGGGTGGTGGTGGTGGGAGGAGTGGTTGCGAGTGAACACGTGTGGAGGGTGGTGGTGGGAGGAGTGGTTGCGAGTGAACACGTGTGGAGGGTGGTGGTGGTAAGAATGGATGCGAGTGAACACGTGTGGAGGGTGGTGGTGGTGGGAGGAGTGGTTGTGAGTGAACACGTGTGGAGGGTGGTGGTGGTGGGAGGAGTGGTTGTGAGTGAACACGTGTGGAGGGTGGTGGTGGGAGGAGTGGTTGTGAGTGAACACGTGTGGAGGGTGGTGGTGCGAAGAGTGGTTGCGAGTGAACACGTGTGGAGGGTGGTGGTGGTGGGAGGAGTGGTTGTGAGTGAACACGTGTGGAGGGTGGTGGTGGGAGGAGTGGTTGTGAGTGAACACGTGTGGAGGGTGGTGGTGGGAGTGATCACGCAGCGGTGAGCGTAATCGCGCAACGAACCCGGCCACTCGAAGTCGCCTTCAGGGCCAACAGCGGGGACCCACCCGGCTGCAAGAACCGGTCCCTGGGGGCCTCCCAAGTGCCGGATTAAGCGAGTGGGGGCCTGTGGCAAATGTTATAAAGGGGCCCTAAATAAAAAAGACACAAATATATATATAAAAAAAATAACTTGCATAGTAAATTGTATCTTTTTTTCATTCGCTATACAGCCAGATAAATACGACAAATCGCTAACCTCAAACACCCAGTCGTTCATAAAAGTTCAAGTCATCATAGTACTAATAATAGTACTAATAATAGTAATAGAGCAAGTGCAGAATCACTGAACCGGAGCACTTGAAAGTGCGGGGCCCGTAGCATATGCTACTTTGCTACGAGCATAATCTCGTACTGTGCCTCCCCCCTAGGTCGACTCGGCCTCAAAACGAGTTGCGTGGTGGCAGCGTGTCGCATAATACAAACATCGCCCACCAGGTTGACAAATGTGGCCGGACGTGGTGCTGCCCACCCAGCACCCCCCATCCCGTCTTCGTTTGGCAGTGGCGGCAGCCTGAAATAGTTGCTACTCCATACTCTTTGGTTCTTTCAGTAAAGTCACGTAGGTAGAAAAATAACAGATGACGACGTTTCGATCGCAACCCAAGCAATCGTCATCAGGTGGGACAACCACAGCAAGAAAAAAAACTGCTGAAACGTCGTGATCTATTATTTTAGTTTCAACCTACGTGACTTTACCGAAAGAACCAAATAGTATGGATTCCTGCAGACACGAAAGCTTCAAATCAAAATTAGTTGGTCCTCGATAACAACTCTTGTCCCAACATCCCTTTAAACGGCTATAACGCGGGAAGGGGGGGGGAGGTATTTGTATACGATTGTATGCTACTTACTTAAGAGTGTGTATAGATATCTACAGTGTGTACCATGTGTAGTAGCCAAGGCCGTGAAGGTACGCCAATCACATGTTTTTTTTCTCACCCTCGTTCCCACAATCGGCGGCGAAACGTCGACTACCGACTACCCCGGCGGCTTTCATAACTTGGGCAACTTTCCTGGAACGCGATACACGGGCACCCGAATGTCGCTTTCGGTTTATCTGCCACCCTTCCTCAACCTTCACCACCCCCCTGACCCCGGTCGCCTCCTTACTCCGTCTCATTCAAACTTGTGGCCACGCAACAACCACCACCCATCCCACCCCTCCTCGACCGTTCAAACACCGAAGTTAAAGGCTTTCGTGACCAATATCATCCATAATACTGGGTGGGTTGGGGGAGGGTCTTCTTTCGGTTAGATCGCGTAAATGCGTGTCAATTAAACCCCGACACAGCCAATTAGTAAGGTTTGTCACGTAAACAGAACGTGGCAATTCGTTACTGGTCACAGCAGCAGCAGCAACGCCGGTGGTGTTGGAGGGCAAATCCACGACATTTTCTGCCGTCAAACTCTTCCTCCCGATCGACTTTTCCGCCCCCTCCCCCACTCTCCCCCCAAAAGTAAACAACTTTATTGATTAAAATAAATGATCGAATGTAAACTTGACCACCGAAAGAAAATAAAGAACAAAGATCCCACCCCACCCATTGTGACCTTAACGGACTGTTAGGGCAAGTGCTGTTAGCGAGCAGCGCCTACACAGGACGGTACACAAAGGGCGAGTGGGTGGCAACCACAGCACCAGGTACACTCATTTGAGTCCGAGTCCACCTAGGGGAGGGCTCAGGAACGATTCGGATAATCGTCCACTGGTGTTGGCCCTGAGCGGGAATGGTAGCCGCAGCCACCGCTCCCCACCAGCACACCACCAACCAGCTCCACCAACCAGCTCCACCAACCAGCATCACCAACCAGCACCACCAACCAGCACCACCACCACCCAGCCTCAGAAACACCAACCAGCCTCAGCACCACCACCACCAACCAGCACCACCACCACCACCACCCAGCCTCAGCACCACCAACCACCACCACCACCACCAACCAGCACCACCACCACCACCACTCCCAGCACCACCACCACCAACCAGCCTCAGCACCACCACCACTCCCAGCACCACCACCCGCATCAACCAGCACCAGTGCCACCACCACCACCACCAACCACCACCACCACCACCAACCACCACCACCACCAACCAGCCTCAGCACCACCACCAACCAGCCTCAGCCCCATCACCAACCAGCCCCATCACCAACCAGCCCCATCATCACCAACCAGCCCCATCACCACCAACCAGCCCCATCACCACCACCTCTGTGAGGAGGAGGCCCAGGACCGGCTTCGGACGATCGTCCCCGGTGCCGTTGTCCCGAGAGCAGGAATCGAACTCGGCTCGGCGGTGGTTCGCGGCGTAGCGCGCTAACCACCCCACACACACACACACCGCAAGAGAACAACGCCACAACAACAACAACACCACCACCACCACGCAACACTCGCAACGAAACTTTCAGGCAAAGCGTCGCTACGTACGGCGGATGTCGCTCGGCGCACGGACGAGCAGTGGGGGGGGAGGTGGGGGGCGAGAGTTGGGGGCGAGAGTTGGGGACGAGCAGTCGACTCGTCGCCCCCCTCGCGGCCGCACGAACCTTCCTCTCCACCCCCCCACCAACAACCTTCCCGCCGCTCCGCCTACCTCGTCGCCGACCCTACCACCACCACCACCACCAAACCCCAACCACGGCGGCTTGTAAGTTGTGACCCACCTGCCGTGAAGGAGATGGAAGCGAGTCCGCGCCGGCCTTTAAAACCTTTTTTTAAATTTCTACGTTGGGGCGAGATGTTTGAGCGAAACAAACAAAAAAAAACACAAAGACTCCTTCACGTCCTCAATGCCGTCTCCTGATGCCGTCTCCCTCAACTCCGTCGCTCGCTACTCCCCCCACCACCACCACTCACCCGTCCCCTCCACCACTCGTCACGTGACCCTCGCAGCCACGAGAGGGCGCTACACACGCCTCCACCAACTCCCCCCACCCACCAACTCCCCCCACCCACCAACTCCCCCCACCCACCAACTCCCCCCACCCACCAACTCCCCCCACCCACCAACTCCCCCCACCCACCAACTCCCCCCACCCACCAACTCCACCCCCCCCCCACCGCCAACTCTCCCCCCCTGCCAACCCCCCCCTGCCAACTCTCCCCCCCACCCCCCTCCCACCAACTCCCCACCAAACCCCCCTCTCCACCCCCCCTCCCACCCCCCCCCCCCCGCCAACTCTCCCCCCCCACCAACTCTCCCCCCCACCAACTCTCCCCCCCACCAACTCTCCCCCCCCACCAACTCTCCCCCCCACCAACTCCCCCCTCCACCAATCCCCCCACCAACTCCCCACCCACCAACTCCCCACCAAACCCCCCTCTCCACCCCCCCTCCAACCCCCCCCACCAACTCTCCCCCCACCAACCCCCCCTCCAACCCCCCCCCGCCAACTCTCCCCCCCTCCAACCCCCCTGTTTCATTGCCAGAAAGGCTAAACCCTATTATTTATTCATACAATTCACACATTATTGGCCAACCCGTGTGCCCTTTAAATTAAATCTCAACGTTCCTCCTGCAATGCCCCCCATCACCACACGGCAGAAACACAAAATAGACAATTCTATATTTAAAGCTTTCGTGACTGCTAGGATCCATACTCTTTGGTTCTATTGGGTAAAGTCAAAGAGTGCAAAATAGACACCTAAAATGTTTGGTTTTTTCCCGCATTGAAACGTCTGTACCGCCATATGGACCTGAAATCTCAATGTCCCTGTACAATAATAGGGCGGTAAAGCGTGTGGGGTTGACAACGATATGCGATTAAAATCACCGTGCAATTAAAACATTTTGTTTTTGTTCCTGGGTAGGAAGCGTTATTTTCTAATTGCTTATGCCTCAAAAGTACAGAAAATCGCTGTTATCCCCCCACAAACTTTGCTTTTGTGACCAGGACAGTGATATTTTGAAATTTACCTATTTTCAATGAGAAAACGTGGTGTGCATTTGTGGTCATTCCTTCTCGTGGTAAAGTCTTGGCCACAAAGGCAACTTCCAGTGCTAGGTGAGGTCTACGGGTGGTGGCAGTGGACCACCGCGTGTGTCCGGTCTTCGCACCGAATGAGCCGAATGGCTCACAGGGCTATACCAAATAAATAAAACTATGAAACTATGAAACCTGGTGGGCTCGCATTGGTGACACCGCTTTTGCTCCTCTATTTAAAGACCGACACGGGAAGACTTTCTTCACAGCTCAGGACTAATGGGCCCGACTAATCACGCCGGTGTGCTGAAGCAGCAACTAACCGGCACGTTTTGCTTACGAGACGAAACCTTACTAATTGGCGGATTAAACGACACACATTCATTGACATGATATAACACTCCCATATAAAAAAAAAACATTTTTTTTTTGCAGCTTGTGTCTGATTCGTTATCGAACAGCTTCTGTCTGCGTGGCATTTGCCGAGAGCGATGCGTTCCCGGAAGCTGCATACAACAGCACGGGGGGGAGTGGGGGTGGACCGTAGCTCGCGGATGCGCGTCGCAGACGGTGAAGAAAACAAGAGCATCTGTCCGCCGCTCCTGGTCCTCGGAAGATTTAAGTAGTAATCGCGTCTAAAGGTTTGTTGATTAAACGAATCGTGAATTGAAGAGGGGGGTGGGGATATCGATTAGTTTTTTTTAAATGCATGCAAATGCACAAATCCGACGAGTACAGCAGGTACAAACAGGGCAAAGCGGACGGTAATCTGTGAATGAAGAGCTTCACAGCTCATCGGATTCCTCCGGTATAAATACATATTCTGATTCGACGAAGGCGCAAGTAGAATTCTTCTTCTTCTTTCGTGTGGCTGATGTACATGCAGAGCAACAACTACAATTTCACATTCACGTGGTCAAAGCCGGCTAGCTAACCGAATCGGGAGCAGCTGAGTGGCGCTGTCGCTGCGATGTCTCCTTCGTATTTGTGGATCGGAGCGTTGCATCGTTACGCGTTGTCCGGTCTAGTTCCGAATGACCACAGTCACACACGACTGGAGAGTTTTTTTTTAATAAAATTTCCATTTGGGGCCGTCCATAAATGACGTCACGCACCTAGAAGGGGGGGGGGGTGGTCAGACATTTGTGACGATGTGTGACGAGGGGGGGGGGTGAGAAATGTGACGTCACATCAAAATGCGCAACTTTAAATAAATATAGACAACGCGTTCTACTTAATTAAATAGACTTTTTAATAAATGTTTTCTTCTACAACATCAGAGTACAGCGCCACATTAAATACGCACAACAATGACAATAGTTTAAAGCGATTTGAAACATGTTTTATTTTGGGGGGGGGGCAGAGCTTTGTGACGTCATATTTGAGGGGGGGTCTGACTTTTTGTGACGCCGTGTGACGAGGGGGTGGGGGAGGGTCAAAAATCGTCCATAATCCCGTGACGTCATTTATGGACGGGCCCTTTGTGCATCAGGTGGCACCCGCATTGCCGCCCTTTGAGCAGTGGACGAAGTTTAGGGTGGACCCGTCAGCAAGCTTCGTGTAAGACCAAACCCCGCGGATCTTGTGCGTTTGGGTCTTTCACAAGGCACTGAACTTACACGGGGCAGCGGCTGTTTTCACAAGGGGGCGTTGCAAGGGATTCAGAGTGGGGCGCGGGCGGGCACGCAGCGATCTGCACATGGCTTCTGTTGTTTGTGGAGTAACTCATGCAGCCAGCTGTGGCTCTAGGGTTTGGTGTTACATGTTATTTACGTAGTTTATTGTAAAAAAAAACATTCGGTCACGGTCCTTGTGATCACTTTTACGTTGCAATAATGGCTTTATTTTTTGGTGATTTGGAAAAGTTTTTTGGTTTGGACATGTTTGTTTTGTATGTAGTACGGAGTTAGATTGATGGTTTAAATCTAAGTTTTTGTGGTTGTTGTTGTTGTTTGACTTGCATCCCACTGGGATTTTTTGCACACAGCGTTGGTGTACGGTGCTTTTTTTCAGGAATATTTTTGCTGTTATTTTTTTCAATGGATTTTCTGTTTGCACAGTCACATAGTCACTTTAAGATGTTTTTCTTGTTCGTATTTTTGTTTGTTTTGTTTGTTGTGGTTGCACCCGATTCAAGAACCGGATGGCACACAGGGCTATACCAAAATAAACTGAACTGAAATTGAACTCAACGTGGAGGCTTGTGCCGAGTCAGGCGACGAGTTTGCGTTAACACAAGAGGGCGCTGTCTTCACGACAATGTGGAGAAAAAATAAAATCGTCTTGAATGGAATCGCCGTCCGAATTCACCCAGAGTCACAAAACCAGCAGCCACCCGCCTTTGCCTCGCCCAATATTTTCTCTCTCCCAATATTTAACGCCGAGTCGATCTACTGAGTACACAGCACAGACCTGGCAATTCATGGCCAAAACCTCGTGTGTGTGTGTGTGTGCGTGTATCGCATCCCGTGCAAGAAACTATTTGGCGGCGGTTTTGTGGAGGAGGCTTTGGTCCAGCAGGTGGATTCATCGTGGACCGAGTTACGATGTAGGTGATGGCCAAGTGTCGAACCTAAGTCTCTGCAGCCGTGAGCGGGCTGCTTCGGGACGTTGTTCACGATTCATTTGCGGCTCTTTTAAATATTGAGTTCCGAAAAAAAAACCCCAATACAATGGCTCCTCTTTGTTACTTCGTGCATGTCGACCTCTTAATCAGTGACTTTACCTTATTGCAGACCAATTCAGACATGAATGAGACCTTTTTGCCAGTAATACTAAGAATAGGGTTGAACCCTTTCTGGAAATAAAAATTGTGTTAAGATGTTCAAACACCAAATAGAGACCATTTGCAAGGAATAAAGTACTGCATTAACCACACACGATACTTGTGTGCTTAATGCAGACATGATTCCTTGGAAACGGTTTTATATTTGGTGTTTGAACATCTTAACGCCTGTTTCATTGCCAGAAAGGGTAATACATTATTTCTTCATACAATTCAGAACTTATTGGTCACCCCGTGCCCTTTTAAATCCCAAACGTTACTCCTACAAAGTCCCATCACAAGGGAGAAACACAAACAAAATAGATTTTGAAACGGCTGTACGCCGAATGGACCTGAAAACTCAATTTCCCCTGTACAAGAATAGGGGGTAATAAACCGTATGGGTTCACAGCGATGGTATTTTGGTTTCAGACTGTTTGGGGGATAATCAGCACACTATATACTACGTACTGTATATATTTACACATACACTCTTGTGTAAGTCACCCCCCCCCCCCCCCCGCGTTATAGCCGTTTAAAGGGATGTTGGGAGAAGAGTTGTTAGCGAGTAGCAACTATTTAAGGCCGCCGCCGCCACTGCCATATGAAGGCGGATAGGGGGTGCTGGGTGGGCAGCACCACGCCCGGCCACATTTGTCAACCCGGTGGGCGATGTTTGTATTATGCGACACGCTGCCACCACACAACTCGTTTTGAGGCCGAGTTGACCTAGGGGGGAGGCGCAGTGCGGGATTATGCTCGTAGCAAAGTAGCATATGCTACGGGCCCGCACTTTCAAGTGCTCCGGTTCAGTGATTCTGCACTTGCTCTATTACTATTATTAGTACTATGATGACTTGAACTTTTATGAACGACTGGGTGTTTGAGGTTAGCGATTTGTCGTATTATTTTATTATTTAGGGCCCCTTTATAACATTTGCCACAGGCCCCGCACTCGCTTAATCCGGCACTTGGGAGGCCCCCAGGGACCGGTTCTGACAGCCGGGTGGGTCCCCGCTGTTGGCCCTGAAGGCGACTTCGAGTGGCCGGGTTCGTTGCGCGGTTGGCCTCACTGCTGCGCAATCACCACCACCCTCCACACGTGTTCACTCACATCCACACCTCCCACCACCACCACCGTCCACACGTGTTCACTCACAACCACTCCTCCCACCACCACCC